TGTTTAGAATGTGGTAAAATCAACGATTTTACAATTATTAAACCATAAAATGTATAATAAATACTAAAAATTCCGTTTTAAGTTTAAACTTATTTGAACAATTTTTGAAATTATTCGACTTATCTTTGACAGCAACAGCGCATGCGATGCGTTTTTGTCACTTTGGCAGCCATTGTTGCACAACTATCGAAAAATATCAGTATTTTGGCGTCGTGTCTTATAAAATGCGATTTTTCCTTTAATTAATTGTATTTTTGTGTTAATTTTAGTTTGCGAATGTCCGTGTTTGCTTGGGCGATATGGCGACAAAATACAAACATTCTTCAATCATGAATTGTTTCCTGCATGAATTGTTTCCTGCATGATGATTTTCTAATAAAACAACTATTTTACATAACTTTTTTAATATAGAAATTCTATAATAGAATACCCATATTATACAATAATACAATAGCACAGGGCCGGATTTACATGTTTAGGGGCCCTAAGCAAAAGTCCGAGAAGAATAATTTAACCTAATTAACCTAACTATTGAATATATAGTATTGTCAAGTATTGAACAAAATTATGAATCAATGGCTTTAACTTTGTTATTTGCAAACTTGTTCAATATAAAAGTTATTTGGTTCATTACCAAGCATGTTTTAAGTTTTTTAGTTTGTTGTTATATTTTTTAGTTTGTTTCTATGGCAACCAATTTTTTTATTTTCTTCATAATAAAAAAAGGTTTTTTTTTCTATTCAGTAATAAAATTTAGCAAATTTTGAAAAAATAAGCGAGAAAAAATATTTATTACGACTCGATCACAAATAATTATTTTTTATAATTATAATTGATTAATTTCACAACACTAAAATATAGATAAAATTGTAGGTATACCAATCTGCGAATATTTTTATAGTAATTAATAATTACTAATTATGTATATTCTTTCCCTGAGTTGGAGGTAAAAAATAGAGATGGGAAAATTCCCATTTGACGAAAATTCCCGGAAACTTTCCATCGAAAATTTCCGAAATTTTCCGAAAGTTTCAAAAAAAATTTTTTTATTGCGAAAATATTTTTCATGCCAGGGATTTGCAAAAATGTGTTATAACTTTTTGTCAAATTTTATTAAGAAAAAAAATAAAAAAAATGTTTATAAGAATGTAACTGCAATACTATTTTTAGTATCTTTTACTTTGGAATATTCCTATTAAGGTATACCTATATATATACTGAAACCTAGAAAATAAAAATAAAATGTTTACTATTAGAAATTCACTGCTAGTAAATCCTAGATATTACGTAAAATAAAATTAAAAGGGACAAAGTAACTAATATATAGGAATATTAAAAAGTAAAAAGTGAAGTAAAAAATAATTCCAAACACTAGATTTTTTTATTGGCATTGTGCTATGCCTATAAATAAACAACAAAAATGTAAGAATGATTTTAACTTTGTTTATTGTTTTTATTTTGTTTACCTTTTTTTAAAAAAGTTTTTTGTGATGATGCGGAATAATCCGGCTTCATTGAGGTTATGTAACATAACTTACATTATTTATACTTCTTCTGCTTTAAATTAACACACATTAAATTCTTATTCAAAGTTTTTTGGTCTTGTATCATGGCCTTAACGAAAATCAGCGGTTCCCTGCTGAAAAAAACTGATCGAAAATGGATCGAGTTTAAATCTCGATCCTTTTTGATCATTTTTGATAAGGATTTTGTCTCCTGTTTTCGTGATCAAAAAGGATCGAGTTTCGATCCTGTTTTCTGGATCAAATAGGATCGAGTTTCGATCCTTTTTGATCACGAAAACAGGATCGAAACTCGATCCTTTTTGATCACGAAAACAGGATCGAAACTCGATCCTTTTTCGATCATTTTTGATAAGGATTTTGTCTCCTGTTTTCGTGATCAAAAAGGATCGAGTTTCGATCCTGTTTTCTGGATCAAATAGGATCGAGTTTCGATCCTTTTTGATCACGAAAACAGGATCGAAACTCGATCATTTTTCATAAGGTTTCCATAATTAATTCTAAAATAAAAGATACAATTTACAAAACTTGAACTTTATTGGGCACTTTGTATTTCAAAAAAATCGGATGACCACGACGATGATGATGAAATTCGTAATTATAATAATAACAGTCATATATTTTATAAAATAATATTCACAACAATAATTCCGTGGTTTCGGGGAATAAGGGGATAAGTCATTTTTGGGTCTCTCTTTTCAGACTACTGTCATAAGGTAAGAGTATGAAAAGTTGTATATAGGTAGTACTACTTTTACTTATTATGGAAACCTTATGAAAAATGATCGAAAAAGGATCGAGTTTCGATCCTGTTTTCGTGATCAAAAAGGATCGAGTTTCGATCCTGTTTTTATGATTAAATAAGATCGAGGTTCGATATCGTTTTTGATCACGAAAACAGAATTGAAACTCGATCCTTTTTCGATCATTTTTCATAAGGTTTCCATTATTAATTCTAAAATAAAAGATACAATTTACAAAACATGAAAAATTTATTGGACATTTTCGTTTTCAAAAATATCGGATGACGATGGTGATGAAATTTGTATCCTTTTTCTAAAACAAAAAAAGTGTCCCTTTAGGGAATATATTTATATTACTATTTTAATATTGTCAAAATAATCTTGCAAATTTTCATTCATACCTTTTTTCCTTCGGCGATTTTTCAAATTTTTTTTTTTTTTTGGATTTGTATTTTCGTTTTGCTTTAGCTCATATATTGTGGCGTACTTTTTTTCTTTATATTTTGATGTGGCCCCATTGCACGCCAATGTTGTATCAAATTTTAACAATTTTATTTTTCAAAAATAGGGCTTTCATATGAAAGGTATGTATACAAAATTATGATTAATTTTTATCATTTTCATAGAAGATATGACGAAAAAACGTTTTTTCTTTGTCAACTTATGTGTGATATTTTTCTGAATCAGGATAATGGGAGGAACATTTTTCCCTGGTAGGTTAAAACTGAATCACCCTGTATAACTATATACAAGACTAAAAATTAATTATTTACTTGCAAAAAAAGAAACAACGCATTGCGCAGTTGCTCCCTCACGTTCAATAAAGTATTTCTTGTTTCGAGAGAAAGTTTTTGCATCGAAATTTGAAATTTCCGACAGCAACACCCTTTTTTTATGCCCCGTGTCGCAAAATTTAACAAAAGCACATGGTCCATCAGCGGTTAAATTAATTGACATCTTGCTATCTTGCTGTCTTTAAATTTACCTATAACAAATAAATTCATAGTAAAATTTGTATACATAACCTTACTTTTCAGGGGCCGAAAAAACAAAATTCATAAAAAATTGCCGCAACTCGGGAATCATAAGTTTTTTTTGTTTGATGGCAATCAGTACTTTTCATCGAATTTTTAATTATTATAGTAAAGAAAAACCCACAGTAAAACCGTAAAATCGATAACAAAAAACACTAACCAACTGTTGGTTACCAACATGACAAGCACGTGCACAGATTATAGACACATTACAGACAGGGTTGCCAGATGATATTTTTTTATTTCCCCAGATTTTTTACAAAAAAATCCCTAGATTTCCCTAGACAAGTATGTCAAGATTTTATTTTATTGGAACTTTTTTAATTTAAATATATCGATGGCTTAGGCGCAATACCTCGTATCATTAATTAATCATCATAAGGTAGCGCATGAAAAGTAGTACAGAATACTACTTTTTCTTATAATAAGGAAATGTAATTATAATTACGAATTTCATCATCATCATCGTTGTCATCCGATCTTTTTGAAAGTGCCCAATAAAGTTTTCATGTTTTGAAAATTGTATCTTTTATTTTAGAATTAATTATGGAAACATTATGGAAAATGATCGAAAAAGGATCGAGTTTCGATCCTGTTTTCGTTATCAAAAAGGATCGAAACTCGATCCTATTTGATCATGAAAACAGGATCGAAACGATCCTTTTTGACCACGAAAACCTTATCAAAAATGTTCGAAAAAGGATCGAAACTCGATCGTGTTTTTATGATCAAATATATTTCGAAGTCGATCCTATAGGATCGACTTCGAAATCTGATCGAGAATGATAAAAAAGGATCGAGAATTTCAAGAACCTAGTAGTCGATCATATTTGATCATGAAAACACGATCGAGTTTCGATAATATGTTATCAAAACTCAATCGTGTTTTCATTATCAAATAGGATCGACTGCGAAATCTGATCGAAAATGATAAAAAAGGATCGATAATTTCTAGAACCTCATTAAATATGATAAAAAAGGATCGAGAATTTTCTGGACCATGATCAAATATGATAAAAAAAGATCGAGTTTCGATCAGTTTTTTTCAGCAGGGTTAAACAATTGACATTTAAATGAAAAAAACAAGGAAAGTTTCCGGTTTCCGGTAGCTTTCAAACTTTCAAAATGAAAATAAATTCCCAATTGGAAACTTTCCAAAACGGAAAGTTTCCTTAAAATGGAAACTTTCCGATTCCCATCTCTAGTAAAAAACAGCGATATGGCGACATATACACACTTTTTTTAATCATCAAGTGTTTCCTGATGGTTTTTTTTAAATAAAACAACAATTTTACATAACTTGTATAATATAGAATATGTTATATAATACAATAGCAAATAAAAACATTACAAGTGGTAGAAAAAACGCTTAATTTTCGAAATTTATTTACATTTTTTGTTTAAATTTGTTATTTCTTAACAAGGAATGGAATGGAACCTTTAAATTGATGTAAATTTATTATTTTAAGCTACTTTTTTTAATTACAATATCTTTATCACAGTTGAGATGGTTAACTATCTAAGGTTTTTTACGTAGTTTTTAACTATATACATTTGGTTTTATTTTATTTGGAATTTGACAAATTGTTTTTAAAACTACGTGTGACAACAATAATAACTTTAATTAACAACATAACCTCAATGTGTCAATTTCCAAATCAGATAAACAAGATTTTATAGGTTTTTTTATTTGATTTAATTTAAATTAAGTACGCTTTTAGTATAAATGAAGAAAGTAAAAATGGGATGAAATGTTTGGGTGATATGTTGGTCCCTGTTCCGCAAAGTTTTATTTCGCTTTCCTGAAAAAAAAATGTAATGCAAAAATTTTTCTTTGAAATTTTTGATACTTACATTAGAGCTTCTGTTTATACAGCTCATGTATAGTCTTCTTGGAAAGTCGTTATGTTGGACTCTATAACACGACAGTGACATGTTATAGTCAACTTCCTTAGGAGGCTCTGGCAGTTTAGCCATTGTTTTCTGTGATCTCTCGGTATTTTCCCTGCACAAGTTGTTAATTACCAGCAAAATCATGTTGCTGTTGGACACTTTTTGGACTATGAAGGGTCTAAAACGAAATAAAAAATATTTAAATCTATATACAGGGTGTTTCACATTCGTGGTCCATTAGAAATTTCATTGGAACGAAAAAAGATATCGATTTAAAATTTTAAAAGCGTTTTTTTTTGTAAAATATAAACCTACCTGCTACAATTTGACATGGTCCTATTGTAACCACTATTAGAGTTATTCCTTTCAGTATAGTGAACCAGACTGTACAGAGAAAATTCGGTATCGCACGGTTCAGGTTTAGTTTTCGTTATCAACAATCTTTGATCGAACTCCTTATCGCTTCTCGACGAAGGACTATTTTCCATTGTCTCCTCTTTTTCCGGCTCACCCTCGCGTTCAGGTTCCGTTACGATCTCTTCCTCCGGTTGCTCATTATTTACTTCCGGATACGCCATAGTTTCCAACTCGCTTCCGGTGACCGCTCTCGTCCAGTATATAAGTGTGGTAAAAATCCATTTAAAAACGGCGGATACATGATACATAGGCTAAAACAAAAAAAAAATTGAAAATCAAAAAATAAATAAATTTTGATAGCAAAATCAAGTTTAGAAGCCTAAAATCATACGAAAACGAGTACAATCGCGCTTTTTCGAGTTTAGTGATCAAAATTGTATTTAGTGATCTCTAGTGATCATAATGATACTTGGTAATAACACTTTTAGTATCACAATTTTGATCACTTGATTCATCATTTTGATCACTACAGTGATAATGTTGTCACTTAGTGATCCATCTGTCAAACTTAGTGATATCTAGCAACTAAAATCCAAAAATAGCTTATATATACAAGCAAAATCGCTAAAATACTTTAAAAATGCATATATACCTTAAAATAGTGGTATAAAACTGTAAACAATGTGTAGTATGGTGTGTTGTATACCTAGTAATGCTAAATTGTGTGAAAAACCCTAATATTGCAATAAAAACACTATCAATAAACTAGTGATGAAGACAGCAAAATTACTTTTTGCTATGTCACTATGACACAATAGTATTTCCGAAACCTAAAAATATAAAATTTTAGTGATCTGATGGTAATTTTACTGACATAATATACTAACGTTTGTTTCTTCTCTATTATAACACTGCGCGTAATTTCTTTTAAAAAACTGCCTTTTTGAAACGAGGCATTCTAATTTTTCTTTATAATCTATTTTGACCAAGTTTGTAGATTTAATGTAAATATTATTAGTGACGTTATAATCGTAATAATCTTCGAAAAGTACGAATAAAAGATTGGAGTCCTTTATTTTGTATATTAGAGTATCACTAAAAATGTCGTTGATTATATTTAGTGATGTACAGGGTTCAACTAAAAAATTAATGTATTTTTTTTACCCTTATTATAATGACATTAATTTTTTATAAAGAATACATTTTAAATTAATACCTAAACAACTTCACGACTTGATTGGTAAAATTAGCTACCAACTTATAGCCGTGGAATTTTTCATCGCACGGTATGTACTTGTTTTTTTCTTGTAAGTGTTCGTGATACAGGGTGTACAAATCTTCGGTGGCCATTGTCAGTGTAGGTGCAATCATTGTGTACAGTACATTCCATAGGTGTGTTAGAAAATGTGTCAAAATGTTTAGAGGCTGTGTTAGAGAAAAGTGGTTTAGAAAAATACTGGGTGTTATGTAATTAATGTTATATATTAAAATGGGTTGTTCCTTAGGGTCTATAAAGAAGCACCTGAAACTTTTTTTTTCTAAATTCCAAAGTCTAAAAATAATTTATAATAACCTTTATCCTACCAAAAAGTACGCCACTGATCGACTAGGAACTTTAGGTTAATCTGGTGGATTTATTATGTTATGGTTGGTAACAACAGTTTTCCAAAATCTCTCAAAAAAGTTGACAAACATTGTTTAAATTTAGCTTAATTACAAAAATGACAAAATTAACAATGCAAATTGTCAATTTGGCGTTTTTATTAATTGTTGGTTATTTCATTTTTGTACTGAAGGTAAATTCAAACAAAATCTGCCAACTTTTATGACAGAATCTAGTGCATTTCTTTTAAATTTTAGGTTATGTTTTCAAATTGCAAATATCTTAACTAAGGGAAGTGCTTTTGGATTTATTTACACAAATTAAATGTTTAAAGTTTAACCTGTGAACTGGTCCCAATTTCATCTGAGTAAACAGAGAAAAAAACTGATGAAAAAATTAATTTTGTGGTTATGGATTTCAAATTTCAAAGGTACTAAATTTTCTAATCATTGCTTAAGCTAATAGCTGGATCAGTAAATAAATACAGAAGGGTATTAGAGCTTTAAGGGCATAAAACTTTTGTATTTATTGAGTTTTTATTTGTTTTTTGAAAGAAAAATTTTTAGTAACAATTTTTTACATCTGGCAACGCATAGCTACTTTGTTGGTTGGTATCACAGACCTGTGGTTGGTATCTATGTACTCACAAAATACAGGTGTGCAGAGATAAACAAGTGTGTAACCAGTGGCGTATCACAAAAAATATAAAAAACTTCTAATGTATATTTTTTCTTCATCTTTGGAAAAATGTTTTTTTAAATATTTTTCCTTTATTCCTTATGTCAAAAGGTATTCAGTATTTTAATATATAACATTAATTACATAACACCCTCTATACTGTTGGGACTTTCTGTATATACTTACAGATAATAGTTTTGTAGCTGGATTTGTTGTGTCTTGCCCTTCAGGACATAATCCTTGATAGTCGAACATGGTGGTGATTTTGTAGATTCCTTCTTCTACTAGTTGGTCTAGAATATCAGGTCTGACATTTCCGAAAAATAAGCCAGTTTCTTTTAGGTTATCACTTATGATGATATAGCCGTTATCGTCGAGCATTAGACAGTGCAACTCTTCACTTTCGCAGGTTCTTTTGCAAGTCAAATTTGGAGCACACTAAAAAATATTAATTTTTTGTTTTTATAAATCTAGTACTAAAAAAAATAACCCTTGGCAACACTGGTCGTACTACTACACGTTTATTTTTTTATTAAAAAATGTTCGCCTTCATAATACAAAATTTGATTACTTACACTAAAAGTTATATTTTTAAATAGCGAATAAAGAGCCGAATGGTAAAACTGATAGCCAACCACTCCTGCTGGTGCCTTATGAGACTTATCCTTGTCCTCTCTAAAAATAGCATGGCTGACGGTCACCAGAGTAAAATTTTCATCCCCTAAAAACAATTAAAACTGTCTATAACACGTAAAAAATACTATATTATATATTAGGGTGTTTCAAAAAAATTAAAAATTATTTTTTTTTCAATGGTTTTGAAAAATTAATAGTGCATTAAAAAACAAAAATGTTGGCGCCTATTTGAGCCCTTAATATTAATATTAAGGTTTGCCTCAATTCATTTTTTGTTTTTCCATTTCAATAACACGAAAATTTTTATTTTTTTAATTTTGAATTCTTATAACTTTGGAATGGTTTGTTGTCGCAACACCCAAGCGATATTAATTTTTCAACACCATTAGAAAAAAACAATAAATCTTTTTTTTAAACACCCTACTATATACTATACAGGGTGTCCAAAAATAACGTTAATATATTTCGGGTGGTGATTCCACACGTACAAAAAAAAGTTGCTGAAGGGTTTTTCATTAAGAGCGACGCTTTTTGTTTTTTTCAATTAAAAGGCTTGTGGTTTAACTATGGAAATGATTTTTATTTCAAATAAAAGCATAATCAATTCCATTATTTATGGAATACGACATCGTTTAATTAATATTTTTTGCAATAAAAAAATTATTGGGTTATTTCCGCAATTGGCGCTCTATGAACATCTAAAAACACATTTAAAAATTAAAAACCTTTATGTTTTTTGATTGAAATATAGTTAATTATACGTAATAATCCTTATATACTAGGTACAGTAAAAAAGAAAAAAATTGATATTTATTTTGAATAAAAATGTTTGTGAATTATTTCTGCAAAAACGATTTATTAAAGTTTTTTTATTTTTACGTGGAGAATTACCCCCCGAAATATATTAACGTTATTTTGGACACCCTGTGTGATATAAGGATAACTTTACCTATATCGAATGGCACTGAGTAAACGAAATTTCTCGGGTCCGTGTAATGATGCTCAACGGCTCGTTTATACCAAGTTTCGTCGATTGCTTTGTTGTGTAGAATATGAAAATTTCTGAAAAAAATGTGTATTTTAGGTATTGTTTTAGCTTTATTTAGGGTATAGTTACGGTTCGTGTACGGTTGTGTCGATATTTTGCGGGAAATCTTGCCATCTTGTTAGGCCACTGTGTGTAGCTAAGAATGCTACAGTTATTCCAAACCTCTTTATAAGCTCAGTCCTTTTGATAAAATATCGTATATTAATAAATACATTTAAACATTTTTTTATGACGAAAACATATTATTATACATTAAAAATTTAAATTAATTAATAAACAATATTTACTGTGTGTATTTTTTATAAAATAAACGTATTTTTTATAAAAAAACAAGCTTTTATTGAACAAAAATGTAAAACATAATATTTAGTTGATAAAGTTAAAAAATAAAGCTACAGAAGAACCAAAGTTAAGTTAAAATTAAAGCCACATAAAAAAAATTCAAATTTAATTTTATATAATTTATTTTTGGGTCTTTTGTAGCATTGCTTTATAACTTTATATGCTAAATATTATTTTTACTTTTTGCTTTAATAATAGTACATATAAGCATGGTATTTTTTTTACTCCAATTAAATAAATTTAATTTTTAACAAAATATATTATAACCTCACTTTCTTCCGATTTTATTCATCATTATAGTCGCCCCTCGTATATATAAAAAAATCTGACATCTGTTAGAAACAGTGCATTATTTTTCCAATGCATTCAGGTTTGAATACACATTATTAAAATAGTGAGTAATGAGTTTAATTTTCATTATGCATTACTTCTTTTTTAATGAAAATTAAATTAATTTTCACATAACTCTGGTTAGAAAGCTTCAACCTCACTTTTCCCAATTTAAAACCCAATTGGTTCAAGTCACAGTGAATATAGAAATCGGCCAATGACTGATGCCTAACAACGTGAATAATGAGTTCATTATTCCCGTTGCTAGGCGGGGCGGTTATAATGGTTACTATTATACAGGTAAAACCCAAATAATGCCGAAAATATGCAATAGGAAGAGAAAACTTGTGCGTATTCATCTGTTTAATACGAGGTGTGTTCAGAAAATATCGGGAATTTTCGTTTTTTGAAACAAATATTTATTTATTCGTCTACATTAATGTTGTCGCCTTCAAAATAGTTCCCATTGGATATTATGCACATGTGCCAGCTCTTCTTCCACGAAACACTTCTAAAACTCGATCTTTGAGATAGCCTTTAGTTCTTTCAGCGATGCGCTTTTAATGTCATCTATGCTTTCAAAACGACGGCCCTTTAAGGTTCTCTTTATTTTTTGGAATAGAAAAAAGTCAGACAGAGGCATGTCTGGCGAATATGGAGGCTGGGGCATCATTACAGTATTGTTTTTGGCCAAAAATTTTGTTCAAAATTTAACAATTTTGGAACAAATTTTGCTGTCACGCGTTTCATACCCAAAACATTTGAAAAAATTTCATGGGATGAGCCAATCGATATACCAACATCATCAGCGACTTCTTTGATGGTATATAACCATTTCTTCCACTTTTTCCATGATTTTATCGGTTGTTAATGTGCTTGTGCGTTCGGGGCGTTCGTCATCTTCAACGTCTTCACGGCCATCTGGGAAACTCTTATACCACTTGTAAACTCTTGTTTTACTTATAGCAGACTCACTATAGGCCTTTGTTAACATTTCACAGAATTAATTTCATTTTTTAAGCAAAATTGGATACAAATTCTTTGATCCATTTCTTTTAACGAACGAAAATCGCCGAGCGTCTAACCTTAGCGGCTGCCACAGACAAATTAAACAATGAAAACAGCTAAAGTTTTTATCATACTTCGGGGGCATGTAAACCAACATAATAAAGAAAATTTTATGACAACCGGACCCTCCGAACCCGCGAAATTTAACAATTCCCGTTATTTTCTGAACACACCTCGTAGATAAAAACTTAAATAAAAAAATAGGACTAATATAATATTACAATATAATATACAAAAACAATTTTCCAAATTCTTTAATCCTCGCTGCTCTAAAATCCTGGCTGCATTATAAATATAAAATACGAAACAAACCCAAAAAGTAGGTACCAATTTTATAATAATTTCCCGGCGCATCCGCCATTTTTGACAAACACAAAACTAATCCAAATAAAATTTACTTAACTTTTTATAAAGTTATATCATGCATTTTTGTATAGTTTATATAGGTTGCCTTACAAGTCAGAAAACTTTTGTTTTTAGAGTTGCATTACACCCTATGTGCCCCAAAAAATGCATTATAAGTATATTATTTTTATTTAGACTTTGTTGTCATTATCAATAAATTGATAAAATATTTTATAATATGTAACAGAAATTTTGCGTAATTTTTTGGTGCACAATTTTATATAATAATAAATATAAAATTTATTTACAAAAAAATATTTTTTGTATACTTTACCTTGGAAAAATCTTCATTAACATTGCTATTAGACTTATAGAAATAAAAAAATAATTTAACTTTAACATTTTTTATAATTTTCGAATTTAAGTGCTCATATAAAATTACGGAAATTAAGGAAACATGCAGGATTATAAGTCTGGATTTCGTTATACGATAAAACAAATAATCGTTAAATAAAATAAAAAAAAATCCAGACCTATTTTTTGTTTAATTATTAACTATTATTATTATTATTAAAAAACATATAACTTACGCGTTATCCTCCTTAGAAGTAGTAGTGATATTTTCGCTAAACCATGAGGTTATTTTGGCATCGCCGACCACTTCACATATTAATTTTCTTTCACCTTGATAAAAACAAAAATATAGTTTTTAAAAATTTCAAAAAATGCGGCTTACTACATTCTGCGGTCCACTTCCAGCCAGGTTCGGCCATTTTTTTCAAAAAATGTATGAATTCCTCTTCACGAGAGTCGAAAAAGTGATCGTTTAAGTATCGACAGTAATGCCTAAAAGAACGTTTATTGTTTGGATATATTTATTTTTGAAACTCACCAGTCGGGATGTATCGTCCAATTCCCAGTGAAAAATTGCGTGAAGGATTTATCGTTGGAACGCATTCTGTGGATGTCATTTTCTACTGTGTGTTGCACCCTGTTAAAGCCATATTTGTGTGGTAGGGCAATAACTAAACTGAAGGGAGTAGCGTTAATACCCATGTAGTAGAAGTGACGGGTTATAGTTAAAATTCTTTTCTGAAATAAAACACAACACAATATACGTGACAAAAAATTAACATTATTTTACATACCATATCGTCCATATGTGTCTTGATTCTTAGAGTGGCATTTCCTCTATCATGCATGACAATATGTTTTCGTAGTTTCCTAATTTCATCACTGAATTCTCTTGGTTCACTATCATCATCTAGCACTTCAACCTCTGTTACATCGACTCTGTTGTAGGCTGGTTTTAGTATACCTTGGTACTAAAAGCAAGACCAAGTTGTTTAAAAATATCATAAAAGGATCCAAATTTGATATAGGTATTTAAAGTTTGTATCCACGGTGTGCGCCAAATTTTGATGGTTTATGACATCTAAAACATCAGGTTGCAAATACTTTTTAATCGTGGATCTAAAATATATTAAAACTCGCAAATATGACGTGGAGTTGGAGCCATTTCTAAAAATTTACTTTTTATTGGACTTTTCAATAAAAGTTCCCGACCAAAAATTACAAAATACCCGATCTTACCCACAAGAGCGAAAAAATCTTATTTTGACTTTTTCCGAGAAAAATTTCTTCAAGGGTTACCAATTTAATGTACTGGTACTTGTTTGCAACGTATTCGTATGAAAAGATTAATATTTACTTTAATATGCCTTTAAAAAATGTATGTGTTTCTTATATAATTTGTTCAAAACCACCCTGTACTTACCACTGGTCTAAGATCTGGATGGGTCAAAATGTAACCATTATTTGTTACTATAAAAGCATAACCATTAACACCAAGCTAAAAAAAATTAAAATTAAATATTTAAATCGTCCGCTTTTTTAACTTTTTGAAGTGAAACAAAACTTTAAAACATTTAATGTTACTCTGTCATAGATCCTTTTAAACACGTCATTTTTAACACCTGCCAAAAAGGTAAAAAAAGCAGGTGTCAAAATGACAGGTGACTAGATTTTATGACATATACCGATAAAAATGATATTAATAAATCAAATAAATAAAATTGTTTGCACTTTTCAAGGAAACCTAAACAATAACATACATAATGCTTATCGATTAAATAAAAGCAAAACACGAAATGTCCAAAAGAATTTTCACTTGTTTTTCAGGCTCACCCCACTGGAAAAGAAACCTTACAAAATATTGCTGCAATGTTTGCAGAGTTTCCAAATAAAATGTTTTATTTGCTACTTGCATATAATGTTAGATTTAAAATGTTACACATGATAATTTTCCTCAACCTTAAACTTGCAACTTTATCGTAAGATTCGTATGAAAAGTTTTTGCATTGTTACATTGGTAACATTTATTATAAAATGATATATATATACATGTATATATGTGCAGTGTGACACATTTGTTTGAGACTCATCCCTGTAAAATCTTTATTTATTGTGCGATTTTAACCGGATTTGTTTTAAAGTATAAATCTTAATAAACTGTATTTTTGGAGCAAAAGTTCTACTATGTAAGTTTTTTAGAAATTTTTTTTAAGAATTCATATTAGCGATTTAAAAAAGAACTACGGGATAGTGTAATACAAGTGTATATATTAAAATAAATGGTGGATTAGTAGAGGTAAATCTAATGGTAGAGAATTTTTGGAATAATTATTCTCTATTTTTTGTTTCATTGTTGTTTTAAGGTTAAAACTAAGCATACAAATATTTATACCATGTTACTATTACTTTAATTTTATTTCAATGTTTTTTCACGGATAACTTGACAGAATAAATTTTTGTAAATAGTAATTTAGTAGCAAAATCGTTCATACTTAAAAAATTATAATAAAATTTAGTATAGGGTTCTTTTAAGGGGTGGTGAATCCAGTGCCGTGCAAAGATTTAAAAAAAATCGAAAACTGACATAGTAGGCCTTGTATTTTGTAAAAATATGGTGTTTTTCTCTAAAAATACAGTTTATCATGATCTAAACTTTAAAACAAATCCGGTTAAACGCCTACATAGTAGGCCTTGTATTTTGTAAAAATATGGTGTTTTTCTCTAAAAATACAGTTTATCATGATCTAAACTTTAAAACAAATCCGGTTAAAATCGCAAAATAAATAAAGGTTTTACAGGGGCGAGGCGCAAACAATGGCTGTATAATTATTTGGACAATTATAATATTACAAAAATAAGATTTTCTCAATGTTTGACTTAACATTATGTATCAAGTTTGACAAACGTCATTTTAGTGACGAACGAGCTTGCGAGCGAGTGTTTAATTAAATGAGTGTTACAAAAGTAACGTTTAGTAACATTGCAATCAAATTAAAGTATCATTTTAAATGAAATGTTGCTAAGCCGGACATAAGACTTTGTTGTAAAGTTTCAGAATCTTTGCCATATTTTTGTAACATTACACGTAACGAATGTTACGTTTAGTAACATTGTAGACATATTACTTTTCCCAGTGGGGCGTGTTTTTTACTTACTCTGTATGACATCATAAGTCTTTTAATATATTCTATTGGGACGTCTGTACCAGCAACACCCAGTAGATTTGCTACTCTTTCCTGGAAAAATATAATTTAGAAAAAATATTTTTGATGAAAAAAACGTACTAGTAAATATAAGTTAATACTACATAAATTCTAGAATATAAATTATTTTAACTTTAATTTTAAACTATTTTGTAGCTAATAACATAATCTAGCCATTTTGTTATAATATTTAGTAATTATTAAACTAAAAGACTAAACGCTATATGCTATAAAATGTCAATAGGTTTTTTAACAAAAATATAATACCTACATAATATGTACTCAGATATAATTTTTAATGTTTTAAAATTGTTGTTTAAAACCTATTAATATTTTCGGTAATATTATTTAAAAGCTGTATTGTTCATAAACTACTACACATATAATATTCAAGTATTTCTATACACGCTGGCCTAGAGAAAAAATACAATATTTAAATACATCTATTGCCTAAATAACACTTTTTAGTAATTATATTATGTATATTGTACTAAAATGTCACCAATAAGTCTATGGAGTGTCTATGTTTCTATTTTAACAATCATTAAAATCGCAGTCTTCAATAAACTACACAAATTTTGAGTTGTGTTTTTTGTAGTTTTGACATCTTTATGCGATTTTAATAATTGAAAAACCAAAATATGACTCCCTATGCTATTTTGTAAAAAGTAGATACCAATTTTACTGTTTTTTGTTACTTTTTTACCTCTCTGGTAACAGTAATCCATAGGGCTTCATTTATTTGTATTTTTTCTGTTATATTCTGTAGAAATATTATAAAACATCTTATGTTATAATGTGAGGTACATAAATTATACATGTTAAAAAGTAAACATTTTTTAAGAGTGTTTCCAATGAAAGTTTCATGGAAACACCCTGTAGAAGGTAGTACTTACTTGTCTGGGTTTTTTGTCGTATACTGGAAGAGAAACAGATGTCATTAGATGATAAGTTTGTAACTCCCCGTAGTTGTCTTGTTTCTGCAAAAAAAACCAATATAAAAATATGATCTACATGTATATTAGGGTGTCCGTTATTTACCAACTTGGTTTTTTTGTTCGCAGCGCCCCCTAAATTTTTAGTTAATGACCAAAAAAAAATTATAAAAAAATATTTATATCAAACCGTGCCACAAAGACGATACATTTTCGGCAAGTTTTACATTTAATTTTTTTCCTCCCGAGCTTTATGAAAATGAATTGTTTATTTTTGAAAATATGTAATTTTATTGTTTTATTGAAAAAATAAAAAATATTGAAAAGAGATAAGATAAGAGATTTCGATAAATTCAATTTTTTTTTATTACATTAAACGAATCTGGTACTAGTTTTACTCAATTTAAGTACGCTTACTTTTTTACATAACCTTTTTATTTCTATTAAATTCTAAAAAAATTTATACGATTTTATAAAATATTATACAATAAAAACTTTTCCTTCAGTACAGCTAATGACGTAGAAATTCTTTTAACAATTATTTTTACGACAAAATAAAATTCGTAGTTACGCATATGTTGTTGAGTATGAGATGCAGACAATTCCGCTACACCAATTATCCTTTTCAAATACGTTAAATGTATTTATCTACTCCTCCATTAACAAGCTATGATTTTATGGCGTTTTAGTCACGGGTTGAAGTTAGAAATAGTAGGTTTTGGGCATTTTAGTCACGGGCTGAAGTTGGCTTTATTATAAATTAGAAAAAAGTAGGGTTAAATCTGTTTAAAGTTGACAGATGTCAAATGTCTTTGTGTTCGTCGTAGATAAAGTATAGTATGCAACTCGTTTTATAAACTTCTCTAGACACTCGTTTTTATTAAACACTCGCTCGCAAGCTTCGCTCGTGCCTAGTAAAACTCGTAAATAAAATGCCGTTTATAAAACTTGATACATAATATACTATTATCTACTTCTACATTGAGAAGCTGTGACTTTTAATAAGCTTCGCTCGTGCCTAATAAAACTCGTAACTAAAATGGCGTTTATAAAACTTGATACATAATACCTATACTATTATATAAAAGATGCCACAGACGATGGCACTGGAACTTCAACTTTGCGACTTCTGCCTTCTGTGGTCAAAGTAATAAATCATAATTTAGTGCGCATGCGTTACTACAAATTTAATTTTTTAGTAAAATTAATTGTTAAAATATTTCTACGTCATTAGCTACAGCTGAAATTTTTCATTGTAATAATATTTTATAAAATCGTATAAAATTTTGTAAAATTTCACAGAAATAAAAGATTATGTAAAAAAAGTAATCGTTCTAAATTTGAGTAAAACTGGTACCAGATTCTTTTAATGTAATAAACAATTTTAAATTTATCGGAATCTCTTGTCAATAATTTTCAATTATCTCTTTTCAATAATTTTCACTTTTTTAATAATGCAATAAAATCACATATTTTCAAAAATCAACAATTTATTTTCATCAAAATAATGATAATTTTGCAGTCAAAGTAAAAAAATCGAAAAAATTACTATAATTTTAACCTTGAATAATTTATCGAAAAATCATGGGAGAGCTTTTTTGTACAGCGTTCAATTTCCTATAAAATATGTTTCACTTATTGCTGTATATTAATTTGCTCCAGAGAAAAAAAAATAAAAGTAAAACTTGCCGAAACCCCATGTTATGGAAATGGAAATGTATCGTCTTTGTGGCACGGTTTAAAATGAATATTTTTTTTATAATTTTTTTTAGGTCATAAACTAAAAATTTAGGGGGCGCTGCGAACAAAAAAAACAAGTTGGTAACTAACGGACACCCTAATGTATATCTACATCTGCAGATTTGAATCTAAAATAAACTTACAAATTTTTGTTGGTGTACGTAATTTTTGTCTTGTTCCACTGACGATAGTAGGGTTTTATCTTTTTTATACGCCATAAATCTCTCTCTTTGTTTGTTTCTCTCACGATTGACCCAAAGCCAATTCGTTAACTTTGGGTCCGTTACGTCTGCATAGACTGGACTCCACGTTGGATTCGGTTTTTGGTTGGCATTTAGTACCATGGGTCTTGCCATAACTGGAATATATTGTAGCACCTCCTCCCGCACTTCTGCGTATGTACTGAGGTGCACGTAGTACCCTAAAACAATGAAATAATAATGGCGCAATCGATAGGATTTTTGTATGTACCTTGATTTGCACAAGCCATCCACTTGACCTCCCTGACGTCAGATACTTCTCGACCAATTAGATATGTGAAAACTCTTACGTTCATAAAAGGTAGATTTCCCCAGTTGTATTTCTCGAAAATTTCTTTAAAATTATATTGAACACCATCTGTGACTAACATTATGGCTTGGTTACAGTTCGCACCTAAAAACATGTTTGAGGGTTGTAGACATGATGTTTCTTGCACAGCAAACGGAAAAATGTAGAAGTGTATACACTCTTAGAAAAGACCTGGTATTTGCAATGAAAATTTAGTTCCCAGAACCAATTTTATTAGTGAAAATAGGCACAACAAAAAAATATGTTGTGGGAACTAATACAAATTTGTTTTTACAGTTTGTTGTCGGAACAGCCAATATTGGTAGCTCCAACCAACAAGTTTTAGTGCATCGAAATTAGTTTTTTTTTTCATACAAATAATTGATATTTAATGCAATCACATTAGTCTGTCATTTTAGCAGCGTCTAAGTTGTAACAACTGCACTTGCTATTTATCGCAACAAACATTGTATCATGCAGGAATTTATTTTTTAATTGAAATTACATGAAAAAAGGTACATTTAAAGATCTTAATAGTTGATATAATATAAATTTGTTTTGTACTGTAACTAAGTTATATTTAATATTAAATGCTTGCATTAGTAGCAACAACAAATGGGTATTATTCCACAGTACATACCTGCTTAGTAAATATATCACTTTTTGTGTAAATATTATAAAAAATAGAGAAAGGAAATTCATGCCCGTTCGATTTATAAATATTTATTATAAATTAAAAAATAACAATATAACTGAAAACACCAAATTTTGGTTTAAACATTATAACAAAAATTAATAATTACTCTAAGAAAACATTTATAAATATTTTAACAATAAAACAAAAACGATTCTTTGGTAAATATACACAGATAGGTAGGTACATTAAGATGAAAGTTGACTATACTTCTTCAGTAAACCGTGATGTTTACGTGAAGTGCAAGCCTTTGTTTAACAACTTAACAATGATTCTTAGGTACTTACAACGTAACATACTTGCATTATAACAGGGGTAAGCATTCGATAAATTTTGAGTGTGAGTGCCTATAGTATAGGCCCTATACCAAAAATGCGACTTGAGCTGTAACAAAACAAAACAAAAAAATTCTCGAAATTCCGACGTGATGGAGACTTTTGGTGGGCACCATTGGATTCAGGAGGCCATTTTCAGTCGGAATGGCATTTTCACATTTTTGGATTTTTTTTTCGGACCCCAAAACTACAATAGTGTAATTAAAGGAGTGCAATAATAATACCTAACCTTTAAAAACTGGAACCAATTCAGGTAAACTCCATGTTCCTAATAAATCTGCTACTTCAGTCCGCTCATCCATATTATTTGTTCGAGATATCTATAAGTAACCAACAGATAAGAATATATTCTTGTATATATGAATAGTTAAAAAGTATGTCGCCACTGAATTTACAGGGGCAAATGACCAATTGTAATAAACTAGTTTCTTACCTAAAATATACACCACACACGAGCTGATACACAAATACAAAAGAACAAACACCACCGAAGCATTGAGTACTCTCTAAAAATGAAATAGTCAAAATTCTACTATTTGAATTAGTAAAAGCATTTTTTACTAATAAAATAGTCGTTTTCACTTTTAAATAGTTATTTTTTACTATGTAAATAGTTAAAGTTTGACTAATTTAAGATTAGTCACCATATTTGACTATTTCTGACAGTTAAAAGTAACTAATTTCTTTAGTCGTTTACGGCCAACAACAAAGTATTATTTGAATTAAATGCATATACCTCTCCATGGTTAAAGGACCCATAAAACAAATAAAGATGCAAAAAGTTTAGCTCAAAATAGCAAGACAAATAATATATTAAACTTTAAAATATTATTAACCATATTTATTGACAAATAAAATTAATTTTTATAAGAGCGGCTGACAGCCAAATGCGTTAAGACGTTAGCTTGACAAACTTGTCAAGTGACAGACCTGAGTTCAATCCCAGGCTGGGTCAAAACTTTTTTTAAATTTAAATTTACTAATTTGACTATTTCATTCAGTGGAATTTGACTAATTATTAGTGACTGCTTTTTCACTATGACAATTAGTCAAATATGACTTATAATTAGTTATTTTTGACTAATTCATTTTAAGAGAGTAAAGAAGTTCCTTACTCAATGACCGATGTCTGGACGCCGTGCAACACCGTTTGTTTACAGGTTAAAAGTAAAGCACGCGCCGGGCTGGACAAATCGCGCGCGAAATGCACAAATTTTGCAGTTGCATTAACCTACAGAGACAACATCCCCAACTGACACTTTGTTTCACACCGCTGTGTCTTAGCTGTGTGAAAAGTGACGCATAGTTTATACAACCGAACCGTTAGTTCCACGGACCAATTTCAGTCAGTTGAGAATGTTACTTAAATATTTGGTCCAACAAAAACATTTTACCGCCGAAAGGATTTTTTTGAGATAATGTTGTCAATACTTCTAGCCAACACAAAGTTTCAGTTAAAATAACTTAATCGCCTTTTTGCAGTAAATAATACTCAACAACAAAACTAAATCTTTTCAGGTAATGATGCAAGCAGTTACACATATAAAGGTACTGATTACAAAAAACAAAAAAATTTATTTTCTGCAACAATTTTACCCCAACGATAATAAGTTAGTTACAAATACCAGGTCTTTTCTAAGAGTGTAGGATGACTCCCCGTTTGAATACTTAATCTTAAAGTTTTATTAGAAGCCTTGTTGTAAATGACCGATTAATTCCTTATAGAAACCAATTGAAGTATTGGTTGTTATCAATAGGTCTGAATTGGGCTTACTGGGTTTAATTGGGAGCTATAAAACAGAAATTGGTTTTTACTTGTATTTTCTATGATGGAAAAGTCCGATTAGGATTCTACTGTTTTTTAGTGGTTTCGATTGGTTAAAGCTACCAATAGGTAATTTCCAATTGAATTCAATTGGGCATTCCCAGTGTGAGATTCTACAAAGGAATCTGCTAATTGGTTATTCCCAATACTTTAAAATATGGAAAAGTCCAATTAAGATTCTACTGTTTTTTAGTGGTTTTAGTGGTTGAATTCAATTGGGCATTCCCAGTGTGAGATTCTAGAAAGGAATCTGCTAATTGGTTATTACCAATACTTTAAAATAAGGAAAGGTCCAATTAGGATTCTACTGTTTTTTAGTGGTTTCGATTGGTTAAAGCTACTAATAGGTAATTTCCAATTAAATTCAATTGGGCATTCCCAGTGTAAGATTCTAAAAAGGAATCTGCTAATTGATTATTCCCAATACTTTAAAATATCGCAATAGGGCTCTCGTGTAGCTGCGCAAAACCAACGTAGGCAGTCCTTGTTCGAATGGTTGAGACGCCATCATAAAGAAACAAACAAGTCTTTGGACGCTTTTTAATGTCGTTTTCTTATTAGTCGTTTTCTTTTATAATCTATGTGTTTCTGTGCTTAGTGGTAGTTGTGTAATAGTGGTGTGTACGTATACCTTAAAAAAATGTTTAAATGTGTAAGGTTTAGGGACGATGGCGTGAAAATGGTAGTTACAGCGGACAAAATAAAAAAAATTGACATAAATAATATTGATTTCGACCATGCCTACAAAACATCCTTTGCAAGAAAAACAAAAAAATGATTATAACCGAGTAATTTTATTTATTTTTTATTACTTTTTTTGTGTTTGTAAGTTATATGTATATATTTATTTTAGAAAGAATTAATTTTTTCTTAAAATTAATAATAAAAAAGTTTTCCCATATGTTGCCAACACAGTAGATAATGTACTGTTTCTTTTTAAAATCAATAAAGATATTACCTTTTTTCGTTTCCCTATAATCCTGTAGAAGCTCAAAGGCGGTGATAAGGGAGTCAGTAAAGTTTGCTATCTGTTCTGTCTTAAAATTAGTCATGCTTTCTTTGAAGAGCCTTACATTTGCCAAATTAGCCTGAAAAACACCAAAAACAGTCCACGCCATCTATTTCTCCTTCATATTATATTACCTGGACGAGTTGGTCCTCAAAACAAGGCACCAAAGGCTCAGTGGTGTTACTAAACGTGTAGATATTTACGTAGTCGTTATTACCCAAGGTGTCCAAAATATTGTGCACCACATGTCGAGCTATCTCGCGCCGCATTCCCGTCATACTACCCGATCTGTCGACCAAAATAACAATATCTTTCGGCGACGAAGCGGCTTCTATGAACCAAGTTCTAGTTCTGCAGTCGAATAGGTCTATGGGTTCTTGGGACCAGATCATGGCTGAAATATGGAAAAGTATTTTTAGAGATAATTTGAGTTTTTATCTAATGGTGTAAATTATTTTTGGATATCATAAACGATAGGTAGCCTGTTTGGTCTTTGGGACCTCATCAGTGCCGGGAGGCCATGTGGTGTGAAGCACACTTCGCAACACTCTGCCACGACGCTATATAAAGCCATCGTATACTAGACTGGGCCAAAAAAATCGACTATTTTTTTTTGTAAAGTATATCGAAAATATTGTTTGGGGTGACAAAAAAAATTATGGTGAAAGTTTGAGTCCATAATATTATTATTAAGAGGTCTATCATCGCAATTTTAGATTTTTTTTTCCTGAGCGAGTTTTGTTCTCAGAACTTCCAAATCATTGAGTTTAACAAAATTGACTTAAGAATATTTTTTGAAAAAATTGAATGCTCTACAAAAAAGGTTTGATTGGAATTTCCCGTCAGATGAACCGTTTTCTTACAATCATGCCTTAAAAATTGGTATAGTTTTACAATTTGATCTTTTAACTTTGGAATTTTGTAATTCATGTAAAAAACGATAAATATTCTTATGGGAAATCGAATGCTCTACAAAAAAAGTCTTTTATCATTTTTGGCTAAATTCACTCCATCAAAAGTTATTCAAGGTTAAATTTGAAGTCAAAACGAAATTTTAACCTTGAATAACTTTTGATTGAGTGAATTTAGCCAAAAATGTTGAGAGGTTTTTTTTTGTAAAGCATTTGATTTCCCATAAGAATATTTTTCGGTTTTCTATGGGTACTGATTTTTACATGAATTACAAAATTCCAATTTGAAAGATCAAAATATAAAACTATACCAACTTTTAAGGCATGATTTTAAGGAAACGGTTCATCTGACGAAAAATTTTGCTTTAACCTTTTTTGTAGAGCATTTAATTTTCTTAAAAAAAATATTTTCTTCGAGTCAATTTTGTTAAACTCAATGGTTTGGGAGTTCTGAGACAAAAACTTGGTGAGGAAAAAAAATTAAAATTGCGATGATAGACCTCTTAATATTAATATTATGGACTCAAATTTCACTATAATTTGTTTTGTCACCCCAAACCATATTTTCGATATACTATTCAAAAAAAAAATAGTTGATTTTTTTGGCACAGTCAATTTTTTACCAATATATTCAACAGTTTTACTTTAACGCCCCAAAAAGTGTACTAAGATAATTTAAGATATCTAAAAAATCGTTAGATATTACTTTTTTGTTTTCTTCACTGTAACCTATGTTAAATTTTCTAAAGTATTGCAAAAAGCCTAAAATCCATATTTTTAAAAATCAAAAAGTTATGAGCAATAAAAAAAAGTTTAAATTGACAAAAAAAAATTAAAAGTATATAACTGTTTTGTTTTTAGAGTTGAAGATTTGAGATGTTTGACTTGTTTTTAAAGATACAATTAATGGTAAAAACCGCTTTAAGATTTTCGAGATACATTACGTTTATTGAAACATTTTCCAAAAATGCACTGTCTATGATAACACAGTAGTAACATCAAAAAGACACAAAAAATCGCCGGCATACGTAAACTTAATTATTGGGCGTAGAATCCAGTGGTGTAATCACATTTTTAAAGTTAGCTCGTTTTCTAAAGATATTTAATATTTAAGTTTTTGTAACTTTTTAGTTTATTATTTGTGTACATTTTGAGAAATACCAAAAAGACACAAAAAACGCCGGGACATGTAAACCTAATTTTTGGGTGTAGAATTCAGTGGTGTAATCCGTTTTTTTTTAAATTAGGTCGTTTTCTTAAGATATTTGAAATTTTGTGTTTAAATATTTTTTTATTTGTTATTTTGCTATATATGTATATATATATATTTTAAGACACCATAATCCCTCTTAAAATATCTTTATTTATTTATAATTAACATTTTTGGCCAATTCCAATTTTAAAATCTATTAAAATTAATTTATTTCTAAAATTATTATTTATCAATAATAAGCTTTTTTGTCAGTTAGTTGTATAAAATATTAAAATTAATTTATATTTAAAAAAATAAAAAAAACTACTTAAATAACAAGTTGCAAAGAATGTAAAAAATGTTTAATTTTATGCCTCTTTGAAGATTGACCAACAAAAATCAGCAAGCATCGAGTCGAATTTTTTGCCAGAAAACCGATCTTCAAATGTCATAATGGTTTGATGAAATCGTTCACCAGCTTCATCGGATTCGGTTGAAAGTTGTTTTTCATAAAAATTAAAATGAGCTTGCAAAATTTTTAGCTACATATTTATACTTACTTAACCATAAAATTATGTAGCAAATTGTAAAAACTAAAAACAACATTTATACAGGCTGTACTAAGTCTTTCCCACTAATACCAGACAATAAAATTTACTAAAACAAATTTAATTACATAAAAAGAAATATGCGAAAAATCTAATAAAATTAAAAAAATATGAATATTATCGGATTAAACACGAATGTTATTAATTTAAGAGACAAAAATTTATGAATTAAAAATAAATAGAGACATTTTAAAACGGCTTATGCTATATTTTTCTTTAAAAATATAGCAAAATGGTGAAACAAAAAACTTAAATAATTAATATCTTGAGAAAACGAGCTAACTTTAAAAAACTGATTACACCACTGAATTCTACACGCAAAAATTAGGTTTACGTGTCCCGGCGTTTTTAAGTGTCTTTAAAAGTTTGAAATTTACCTACAGTGTAATTAAAGACAATGCAAAAATGTACTATATTTTAAAAAAACCGAACAAAAATTAAATAAGAAAATGTTTAAATATCTTTTTTTTAAGATATAGTTTTAGGATTTTATGTTACCTTCAAGAAAATTTTAAGATACGACTAATGGTTATTTATCTAAAACCGTTTTCAGGATTTCAGGGTGTTTGTTAAAATATCCCAAAAAATGCCCTGTTTAAGATAATTAAAGTTACCTCAAATACCTTACAAGATAAGTCCATAAGTCCATATACGCAATTTAAAAAATATGTTATTTACCTGGGAACTGTCTCATAAATCCCGTTGAACTCCCAAAATATTGCCATGATAATGTCGGGTCCTGTTTATAGTTATTTCTAAACGTTTTGTCCAACTCTTCAGACCATATAATCCCAGAAATAACATTTTTAGCTAAAAAATAATGTTTGTAATATATTTTCGAAAAATTAGTTATGAGTATTTTGCATAGATAAAGTTTCTTGTTTCTTCTTGTATAATGTAGATATCTTAATATGTGTATATTAGGGTTGTACACTGAACCAAAAAGGTACGTAATATTAATAAAAAAGTTATTGGCTTAACGAACTCTGTTTATCGTTTTTCGTCCGATGAACAAGTTAATTGGGCCAACGAATACTTGTACATTAGTCGATGTTTATAATTTTATCACTCAATTAACTTTTTTAATTGGTTTAATAAAAATATTTATTGATTTAATAAATATTATTATCGAATTGATGGATATGTTTGTAGAATCAATAAATTTATTTATTGATGCAATCAAGATATTCGTTCATTCAATCAACAGGTTTATTGATTATATGAAAATATTTATTGATCCAATAAACGGGTTTATTAATCTATGAACACATTCATAAGCTCAATCATTTTTCTTCATAAAATCAACGAACGTATTCATTGATCTAATAAACGGGTTTATTGATCCAATGAACACATTCATTAGCTCAATCAATTAATCAACTCGTTCATTAATCTAACGACACTATTTACACTACTTAATACACTACACTACATAATAAAAGAATACATTGAAAATAAATAAACATTTATTGTCAAAAACTATGCATTTAACATGTTTGCCTTGTTTATGGAATGGAAAAGATGAACAGTTGGAGAAAATATACCATTATAATACATATTTTTATACACTAATTTGTAGTGTTGTAGGGCCCATAATACTGCCGCATAACGCCCATCTGAAAATATTGAAATGACTTTCATCCTCAATGTTGTCCACCAAACATTTTGTAGTCTTTTCTTTAAGGTTACCTGAATCTTTCAAAAAATCAAAAATCCTCTGAAAGCATTCCTCCCAATGGCTAAGTAAGCAGTCGCTCTTGGAAAATGCTCCTTCAAAATCCATATCAATCTAAAATAAATCATCTCGTAATATTACTAAACATTCGATTTTTAATTCATACTTCGTACCAATCGATATCCCTTCGGAATTTTGTATTGAGACAATTTTTTCAAGATTTGTCCACAGTTTTCTGCCATTTCTAGATCGTTTAATCTGTACCATGTCTTCCAATAGTTATCATGCCCTTAGGCATGCTTCTCCGTCAGTTTCCGGAACTACAAATTTATATTGATTTAACAAAAGTTTTCTAAAAGTTTTGATCAAAAAAGAATCCAAGTTTTTAAGAATATTGAACATATCCTTTCGAGAAAAAATATTGTTATTGTGTAAGGCCAAGACAAATTTAGCTGCTTCATTATTCAATATTTTTTTGATATTCATCTATGATGAAGGTACCGGGTTTTTTTAGATTCATCATTTAAGATGTTCTTGTCGATCTGGTGAGCAATAATAGGAATATTTTTAGTTGGTTGATGAATTGATTTAAAATACCCTATAATGGTATTTGAACTGGATAGTTGAGATTCAACAGAATAATTCGTCTCCGCTATCAAAATTGTATCCTTGCAACGATTAACTAACAACCTTTTGGCGCTTAAAATGTCTAATCCTTAACGAAAGTGCAAAACGATTATGACAAAAAAGCAGTGCATAGTGAAATATGTAAATTGAAATGTACTTACCCTTTGGAATTTTAAACCAGAGTAGGTATCAACTTAAACTTCACCTTCATATAAAACCCAAAGAAATTGATTTGCCTAAATAATAAGTATCGCGAGGGAACCTCTATATCCTTTGCGACGAGACGCCTTCCTTCGCCTAGGTAATTAGGGACTATAGTCTATAGACTGGATAAATCTTATAGTGTCTTTTGTGAAATTTACCCCGGCAATTTTTGTTTTAACCAATAAAATCTCTTATATTTTATGTACTGTTTATCAGCTTAATAAACGCATTTATTGGCCCAACGAATGTATTCATCAGTCAATAAATGTTCGTTGAGTCAATGAATGCATTTATTGGCTTAGAGAAACCCTTATATCAGTGAATAATTGAATTCATTGTCCTGACGTACAATTGTTCGTAATATCAATCAAAATATTTCTTTAAACCAATGTACACGTTCATTTATTTATCGAACTGATTCATTGATATAACGAATGCATTTATTGATTAATGCCCAGTATTCATTAATCTAACGAATTTTGTTTATCAATTTACGTAAACGCGCTTGATGTACTATGTTTATTGGCCCAATGAACAGGATTCATTGGGTCAGTAAAAAAAGTTACTGACTTCGTAGGTAAAAAGTAATGAACAGTAATTCGTTAAACCAATAACCCTGTTAATCATCCAAGAACCCCTAATAATTGACTTAACGATTATATTCATTGTGCTAATAAATAAATTTCGATAAATAGTGTTTATTGATATTACGAACAAAATTATTTTCAGTGTAGACATACTCGTTTACAATGAAATAGTCAAAAATAGTACCAGCACTAATTAAGTAGTCGTTTTCACTTTTAAATAGTTATTTTTTACTACTTAAATAGTTAAAAGTTTGACTAATTTAAGATAAGTCACCATCTTTGACTGCTTCTAGGAGTAACAAGTAACTAATTTCTTTTATCATTTTTATTTCTTGCGGCCAACAACAATATATTGTAAGAGTTAAATGCATGTAGACTTCATGGTTAAATGGCCCATAAAAGATGCAAAACTTTTAGCTTAAAACAGCAACACAAAACTTTAAACCCCGGCTGAATCATAACTTTTTTAAATTTAAATGTACTAATTTGACTATTCTAATATTATTTGGTAGAATTTGACTAATTACACTAGTGTACAGCCATTTTGCACACCTTGTGTAGTTTGTCTCACTAAACGCGAAAATCGAGATATGAATTTTCAATTGTTTTTTTTTTAATTTTCTGAGGTGTTTTGACGTTTTAGAGTATACTTCGAGTTGTAATTGATCGATTTGACCAAACAAGCACTTACGTTAAAAATTTACATATCTTTCTGGGAAAGATAGAAATTGAAAAGATAAGTCTAGTTTGATTTATTTTACGTATAGATTATACTTAAAGAAAAAAAATAAGCTGCTGTTGATAAAAATCCATAAATAAATGGCGAAGTTATGAATTTTTCAGTGGAAGAGCAAAATTCAGTTTTTCGAGAATTTTTACGTTTTTTCTTCATTTTATTAAATTATATAAAATTTAATATTGAACATTGATTTTTATTTTAAACATTAAATATTGAACTTTAACAATAAATATTGAACATTGAAGATATTGAAAGTTTTATTTTGTTTTAATAACCATAGGTTTAAAAAAATTCTGGCCCTTTCTTTGTTTTTTGTTGCTTCGTATTCCGTTTCTCGTATGAGGGACCAAATGTAATCACCCATCATGGCTGTATCCCAAAAGCCGTGATACCGCCGCTCCATAGCCTTCATTTGCTGGTGAAAACGTTCTCCGTGCTCATCACTTACATCAACCAGATTGTCCTGGTTATTTACGCACTCGAACTCTACTTTTTTTACTCATTTTACACAAACTGGAGTTGTCTGTTTGATTTAAACCCTTCCCAGGACGATATGTAAATTTTCGACCTCGATTTTTGCCATAAAACGATTTTTTTTATTTTCTCAAATACCTTCAATTTAAGGGCTTGTTTGACCAAATCGATCAATTAGATTTTAAGCTATACTCAAAAACGTCAAAACACCTCCGAAAATTGAAAAAAAAAACAATTAAAAATACATATTTTAAAAACGCTTCCATAAAAAAAATTGAGTGTGATTTTCGTGTTTAGTGGGTCAAAATACATGGAAAAATTATAATGGGATACGATGGGCAGAATTTTTTTTCGATTTTGTAAACTAGTGTTATTAGTGATTTTTTTGTTCAAATTTATTAAGCGATTTTTAAAAATTTCATAATTTTATTGTAATTATAATTGAGGGCCTTAGAATAAAAGGGGTATAGGTGCAGCTGCCCTGCTAAGCAAAATTGCCCTCAATTATCTAAATTGAAATATTTTGAGATATTTACCTCTATCATATACGTTGCTAGGCACATGAACAGCACTATAATTCGTATTCACTGGAATGTTGTAAAAATGCCGATTTCTATACAAGGGCAATTTTGTTCTATCTTTTGGTTGAGTTTGACTTGCTTGAGGATCTTTCTCTGTATCATCAGTAACCTAAAAATATACAGGGTGTTTACAAGAAACTTTAACATTTATAATAATTATTAAACCTCTAGATCTATTTCGACTTCGGGAAATTCATCTTTCGATGTATCTTCTATGGAAATCGGGTCTTGGTCTTGATCTTGCTGATAGCCGTAATTTTCTTCTGCGATCATTCGTTGGTATTTTTCTTCGGCGTTTGTTATCAGGTTTTCAGATCTGAGCTCTTCTGCATCCGCGCTTACGGGCTGAAAGTGTTTTTTCGTGATAAAATGTTTGGTGATTTTTATTGGTTGTATTTACCGGTTTGGTGACTTCTTCTTCGCCAGGTTCCGGCACTGTGTTAGTTAAATTCTTAGCGTTGTAGTAAACGTGGTTTACGTCGACATCGTCGTCTTTTTGATGTTTTGCCGCATTTTCTGCCACATCCATAATTCTCTAAAATAAAATAAAAATATAAAATACACGAGTACTTACGCTATAGAAGTGAAACTTCTCCGCAGTATTTACAATCATAATAAAAAATTGGTTATATTTGTTGAAAAATTTGTACATGTATTATTATTTAAAAAGTTATATCAAATTTGGCCCATTTCCCATTCATTGAGTATTTAATTTTACTATAATATTATCCTGTAATTTCGCAAGATTCACACTCCAGGCACGAAACAATAGGCTTATAATAACCGAAGTATGAAATGAATATTTTTAATTGTAATCTGTCTAAATATCTAACAAAGACTGCATGCATGTATTCCACTCCCAGATTTCGTGGTGGATATATTCACGATCTAAAAAATCTATTAAAGTTTGTACTTCCTCTTAAAATCCACACTAAGAGAAATATTTTTATCAATAAATCTTAAAAATTCGTTCTATTTGACCATAAAAACAAAATTTAATTTAAGTTATTGTCAAATGAAATTGTTGGTAACTTTTATAACAAAACGTATACGTATAGTTCTTGAACCGATGATGAAACTAGCATATCGAACGTAAAGAAATTGACTAGGGAAAATTGTTCTTAAATTTCCAAAAACTTAATTTTTTTAATAATTTATCACATTTTTATAAACAATTGATTTTTGTTCGTGTTTTGGGCATTTTATCAATCTAAAAAAAGTACTGGGTTCTCCCAAGTTTCATTCAGAAACTGCCCTACAGGTAATGCATAATGGAAATGAGCCCCGTCTTTCTAAAATATCGGATTTTCTTCTTAACGTTGGTCGTTTTCTGTAATTTCAATCAGCGCTGGGTTGAAAAATATGACGATTGACAATGTCATTAAGAAAAAATAAACCGGATTTGCAATTTCTTGTTTTTATTTGCCTCTGAACCAGTTTTGCTAGTAATTATAACTTTGGATGTAACCAGTGGCGTAACTACCACCGGTTCTACCGGTTTTACAGACCGGGGCCCCGTGCACCAGGGGGTTCCCAGAAGTGGCAAGAGAATTTTTTTAAATCTAAATAAAAGAAAAATGTTGATTATGAAAAAAAAATTGTTTTTTGTAGTAATAAATATTCGTTGCCTGCTTGATATTATATTTCTATTGTGTTCTTTTTTTTCAAATTTGAAATTAAATATTTTGAAATAAACATAAGTTAATTGAAATTACAAATCCAGAATCATAATCTCGAAATCGAATTCTTCACAAGTCGGAAATTTTGAATAAGATATATACATTCTTAGTCAAAAATAGAAATTCAGAGATGAAAAAATAAAAATGAAAAATTTGCAATCTAAAATAAGAAATTTTCGATTTCACATTTACAATTTGGATAAAAAAATCAAGATTCAAACTCTCAAATTCGAAAACTTCGATCTGATTTGAGTATTAAACCATAAAAATAAAATGTTTTTCGTGAAAAAAAAATATAAAACTTTAAATGATTCAAAAAATTTTCCTGGTAAGGGCCCCCTAGTGAGAATCCGACTGGGGCCCCCATTTCTATAGGTACGCCACTGGATGTAACCATGATGGATGTGTCTATGTGCATGCCTCTCATTAAACAAAGTTGCCGTTCCCCTCTCTCTTGGTTGTTTATAAAATAAAATTTAATAATTTTGTATCGAATCGAAAGAAAATAAAAGCACAGAAATAATGAACCATCCACATCAACTACTTTACTGAAGATAAAGTTGAATTGTCGACTGATATTTGTTAGTTTAAAAACAATTTTTTCAACGAATTTTTTGCTTTACAAAGTTTGTAAATAAGCGGTCCAGTAAAATGTTCGGAATTCCATTGCTCGGCGACACGTAGCTAAAATTTAAAAAACGAAACGGCATTTTAAAGAAGTTTTGAAAAAAAATAAGGGGCGATAAGAGGTTGAAGTTACAGTGATGAAATTAATGTGTGAAAACAAAAGTATACGGTTCCGTTAATATAGATTTCAAAGTTTTAATTCAAAGAAACGTCAAAAGTGATACAATTTTGGTAATAAAAAATTTAAAGAGCAATTTATTTTTTTAGTAATCACCCAAATTGCGGCTTGCAATTTTAATAAAATGAAGAAACTAGGCGCAATTTTTTTTTAGCGATTTGTTATTGTGTGTAAATAAGTTCTACTTAGACACTTACCTCTACTGCCTTAACTTTTTGCTTCATCATTTCTGATATTTTTTCGTGTATATCTTTGAGTAGAGCTTCCCCATCTTCCCTCATTACATTAGTGTCTTTATAACTCTAAAAAATACAGGTTTAGCTTTTATTTATTTTTTTAACATTTTTCGGTGAAAATTCTTACATCTATAACCTTGGATCTTCTAGTAACAAAATCTCCAAAGTGCCACAGTTCACCCCCCAATTTTTGGGCCCAGTTCCTAACCCTAAAATATTATTAATATTAAAAATTACACAAAAAATTCCTAGTCAATAAAACAAAACTTAAGGCATTTTAAAACAAATGAATTCTAAAAATTACCGTAAATATTTACAATTTTACTAAAATATACAATCACTAAATTAAGTGTGAATAAATAAATCTTATTAATTGTTTTGATAAAACACAAAAATAGCTTTTAGAATTATTTTAAAAATGCAATGTAGTAAAGACCTGTCAAAAAATCGTTATACCTTTTTTATTAAACATACACATTTATAAAGTGTGGCCCATTTGTTTGCAAGTCACCCATGTAAATTTTTTATTTATTGTGCGATTTTAACCGGATTTGTTTTAAAGTGTAGATCTAGATCAACTGTATTTTTGGAGCATAAAAAACTACTTATATTTCTACAAAATAAGGCCTTGTATTTGTTAGTTTTTGAGAGTAAATATTTAAGAATTTATATTAGCGATTTAAAAAAAATTTCATCTGGCTTCACCACCTCTCAAAACTACCCTATTCTAAATTTTATTGAAAATTTGTAAGTGGGGACGATTTTGTAGCTAAATTAAAAATGCACAATATTTACTATTTACAAAAAATTATTTCCAAACAAAAAATAAAATTAAACTAATAGTAACATGGTATAAATATTCTCATTCTTAGTTTTAACAAATAAAAAACAGCAATGAAACAAAAAGTAGAGAATTCCAAAAATTCTCTACAATTAGATTTTCGTCACTACTAGTTCACCATTTATTTCAATCCACTTTTATATTTCTTCTGCAGGAGTATACTTTATAAAGGCTGCGCAGGCTTGTATTACCCTAGCCTTAAGGCTAATTAGGAACTAATTAGTTCTTGTGCAGTAGAGGTGACGAAAGTCTAATTGTAGTCTACAATTAGACTTTCGTCACCTCTACTGTAGATAATTTTTTGAATTCTCTATTTTTTGTTTTATTGTTGTTTTAAGTTTCTGTTGCGTTTTTATTCGTCAAAACTAAGCATAGAAATATTTATACCATATTATCATTAGTTTCATTTTATTTCAATGTTTTTTTTTCATGGATAACTTGACAAAATAAATTTTTGTATATAGTCATTTTTAATTCGGCTTACTTAAAAATTTTCAATAAAATTTAGTATAGGGTCGTTTTGAGGGGTAGTGAATTCAGTGCCGTGCATAGATTTTTTGTTTAAATCGCTAATATGAATTCTTAAAAATGTAATTTTAAAAACTACATATTTAAAAACTATGTATTTAAAAATATGGGGTTTTTCCAAAAATTCAGTTTATCAAGATGTCCACCATAAAACAAATATGGTTTAGATCGCACAATAAATAATAATTTTACAGGGGTAAGGCGCAAACAAATGTTTCATATGTATATGTAATACATATTATGTATACATTTTCATCCAATTTCTAATTTATTTTGCCCACTAGATTTTAAGTAACTACCACCACCTTTCGTTTTTCCTATGGCCGAAAATATGGAATTTTAAAATCTAGATTAATGGGTATTTTTACATGTAAAACTTGCTTTTTTCAAAATTACTAGAAATAATGAAGTTATAACAATTTTTGGTTTTAAAAGACTTTTAGTTTATTAAACATCTTTTTTTAATTAAAAAATTTAATTTTATTTCTATAGGTTTGTCATTACGCAACTTTTTTCTAATTTAACCGACCTTTAAATAAAACGATAGAAGGATCCTTGGTGCACCCTGCACCTAGATTTTATTCAACATTATTTTTTTATAAATCAATTTTTCTATTATTATTTCAATATTTCAAATTATCTTAATTCGTATAAAGGGAACACATATAAAATTCTGATAAATAAAAATAAAGGCAAAAATAGCATTTACGTATGTAGAACCATTGTGTACAGAGTGTCCCCCTTATAGTTAACCCCCTATTATTTTTCCTATTCTTAGTAAAAATATTTTTGTCGGTCAAAACCTGTGACTGAAAAATTTGGAAGAAGGTTGAATTAAAAGTTTATTATTATTAATATTATTATTATTATTGCCCCCCATGATTTTATTTTTGGTGGAGCCCATGGCTACCATGGCAACACAAGATATTTTGGATGATAACAAATTTTGTTGTCACAGATATAATAAAAATGTGGTATTTTTTGCAAAAGGTGTAATGTTTTTTTATTAATCTGATAAAAATGCGGATTCTGAAGCAGCAATTTTATTACTTGCTTATTCTGCTCTAGATTTACTGCCCTCTTAAAATGAATTAGTTACTACAGTTATTATTGGTTGCTTTTTCACTTATACCATGGTTAACCATGCATGGGATACTATGGTATCCCCAAAATTTAACAGCCAATTTTTATGTGAAATTGTCCCCTGAATCCGAAAATTATGAAAGTAGATCAGTTTTTGAGATATACCTAGTAACTAGATAATTCCATATTATTTGGAAAATTGACTATATCTCAAAAACTTGTAGCGACATTTTCGGAGTCAATTTTACATGGAAATTTTTGCACTTACGTATTTTCTGATCTCATATTCAAAAAATTCATAAAAAATTATTCAAGAAAAGTTTTTGATAGACAAAAATATTATGAGAATAAGAAAATAATGAGGGGGTCAATTTTAAGCGGAACACCATGCACAAAATTTCAAGAATTTAAAAAAAAACGCAAAAAATATTTAAATAAATACAAAAAAAGTTTTGTGATAGATAGGTAGGTTAATTTTAGTATCATAGCACGATTTTTTTATGAGTTAATACGTTTTTTAAATCAAATTTTGGTTGAAGGAAGAGAAAAAAAGTAGTAGGGTTTTAAAAAGTTACAAAAATAAAAAAAACATCCTTTAAGTTTTTTAAATGTCTAAAATTGAAAAAAACTGAAATTCCTTGGTTTATTCAAAGCAATACTGATAAAAAATTTAAAAATACTTAAAACTGTAAATAAATGTCAAATGTCCTATTGGCGCCGAAAAAAAGTATTCGCAACTTTTCTCAAGTAGCATGTTTTTTTAATTGACTGTTGAAAAAGGGATTTTTACGTCAGTTATGTCAATAAAATTATTTTGGCATGAAATCATTTATAAGGTAAACTTAATTTTTTTAAATAAAATAATAAAATTATAAGAAAGTCACTTCATTCAAGCAAAAAACGAAATAAACTTCTTAGTGTTCAAAAAATAAATATAAAGCTATCAAGTTTTATTGAATGAATTAATATTTGGTAGAACACAATTTTGGAACTAATTAAGTTTTGTTTTTTGACAATACCTACTACATATTTTTATAGTATTTGCTAAATACTTTTTAAAATGACCTAGCAAGCACCAAGTAAAATTTTTCTATTTAACTTTTTTATATTATTAATATTTAGTTTTTAAATACAATATTTTACGATAATTAACAATAATATTTCTCGCATTTTACTCACAACTTGGACAACTCGGGGTGTTGTTTAGTATCCTTGTACTCCTCCTGAGCTGAACCCACTTGACACCCCAAAAACAAAACCGCACCGAGCAGAAGCCACGCAAGAGAGGCTTTTTTCCCCGACGTCGCACATGTCGACATTTTCGAGCGTTCGCTAATAGTTTTCCTCGCCACGCACTTTTCCGCCCGTTTTTCGGTAGCGAGGCCGTTTTTCAGGAACTTTCGGCAGCGATACGGGGCATGTTGCAGGCAAGTCGGTCAAATCGATACTGTGTGAATATCGGTGGCGCGAGGTGGGCGCAGACGCCTAGATTTTCATTCATGATACATTAGCAGGTCGATTTAACGATTTATTTAATTTTTTGTTTTTGTTTCGTTGTAGTTTTAAGAATAATTCATGCCTGGTATTTGCAATGATGTTTATTTTTAGATGTAAATAGAGTTTATGATAATTATATACAGGGTGTTTCGGTCTTCCAAATTTATAAAATGTTCTATTTCTACAATTTTCGTTTATAACTTTTTCTACTTCCACCTTTAAAACGCCCATTATCGTACATGTTTCCATGATACTAATTGACCTTTTAAATACATATTGACAAGTTGTGGCTTTATGGCGCTTTAGTCACGGGCTGAAGTTAGTTTTAAGTTAGTTGACAGTTGTCAAATGTCATACAATCGTTAAAATAAAGTGCCTTTCTTGTGAAATAATACTAAATACACAAAAATACAAAATTAATAAATAGTTTCTTCACGCCAATATTTAAAAAAATTATATATACGTTTGATTTTGCCGTAGTAGTGCAGTTTACTAGATTTAACTGATAAAGCGTTAAACATTCTCTTCTCTTTAACTGTGAAAAACTGCTTCTACGAGGTGTGTTCAGAAAATATCGGGAATTTTCGTTTTTTGAAACAAATATTTATTTATTCGTCTTCAAAATAGTCCCCATTGGATATTATGCACATGTGCCAGCTCTTCTTCCAATACTCGAAACACTTCTAAAACTCGATCTTTGGGATAGCCTTTAGTTCTTTCAGCGATGCGCTTTTAATGTCATCTATGCTTGCAAAACGACGGCCCTTTAAGGTTCTCTTTATTTTTGGGAATAGGAAAAAGGCAGACAGAGGCATGTCTGGCGAATATGGAGGCTGGGGTATCATTACAGTATTGTTTTTGGCCAAAAATTTTGTTCAAAATTTAACAATTTTAGAACAAATTTTGCTGCCACGCGTTTCATACCCAAAACATTCGAAAAAATTTCATGGGATGAGCCAATCGATATACCAACATCATCAGCGACTTCTAGAGCTCTGATGGTTTATAACCATTTCTTCCACTTTTTCCATGTTTTTATCGGTTGTTAATGCGCTTGTGCGTTCGGGGCGTTCGTCATCTTCAACGTCTTCACGGCCATCTTGGAAACTCTTATACCACTTGTAAACTCTTGTTTTACTTATAGCAGACTAACTATAGGCCTTTGTTAACATTACACAGAATTTATTTCACTTTTTAAGCAAAATTGGATACAAATTCTTTGATCCATTTCTTTTAACGAACGAAAAATCGCCGAGCTCATAAAACACGTCTAACCTTAGCGGCTGCCACAGACAAAGTAAACAATGAAAACCGCTAAAAATTTTATCATACTTCGGGGGCATATATACCAACATAATAAAGAAAATTTTATGACAACCGTACCCTCCGAACCCGCGAAATTTAACAATTTCCGTTATTTTCTGAACACACCTCGTATATCGATTGTTAGTCTATTTTTAAGGGATAAATTTTGATGTACACAGACAAATTTAATATTTTAACGCCGGTTGATTCTCAAGTTCTTCAATTCTAACGAGAATTCCAATAAATACAACTGTCACTATTGTACCTTTAACCTTTCCCGTGTAAGAATGTTTAATACTTTGTGATGTCTTTAAGATGTTAAAGACTACCTATTTAAAACGTCTTGGTTATGCATTGCTACATCGCCAAAACGTTTTAAAGGTTTTAAGTAATTAAAATGTAGCTAATTATGCTTTTAAACTTCTAAAAATAACCCAGATAACATTATGAGGTTTATAATTGACGCATATTGCGGTCACAACGTGATTGTAATCCGCACGTATGCACGCATATATGCATCATTTGCGTCGTCAATTGAGGTTCATATAGGCAGCACATGTGATGGTTGGAGAAACATTGCGAGGTTCATAATTTACGCATATTGCAGTCACAACGTGATTCTTAATCCGCACGTATGTCACATATATGCATCATTTGCGTCATCAATTGAGGTTCATATAGCCAGCACATGTGATGGTTGAAGAAATTTTTCTGGGCATGATTAACAGGTGAATTTTGGACTTGCATTAGTAATTATCTTTAATTGTCTTCAGTTATTTCCTGAAGACCCTTAGATATAATTGCATTATTGCATTAACTCGTTGATCTTAAGAACAATTCCAATTTGGAATTCCAAATAAAATTAAGAATAATTTTTATACAAATGTAGTCTACAAATTTAGTCTTTACAAATCCAGTCTTTTCACAAATTAACCATATGGTGTAAGTCAATTTTTTGAAAATTTTAGTTATAATATTAAGTAAAATCAACAATTTTCGCAAGATGTAGTGTATATCTAGTATTACATCTACAATTTTGCAATAACTATTCAGCAAAAGTGAAAAGTTTGCAAGTAGACTTGAGATAAAAAAATAAAATGTAAATATTTTAAGATGCCCTGGGCATCATGCACATCAAACGAAATTGGTAGGTACAGTTTATTCAATAAACTTCAAACGCTTAGTCACTTAAATTAATTTAACTAGTTTAATTACATGGACACTTCTTTGAAATATTAAAAACAGTATGTTTACATAACAAAACATTTATGTTAAGGGCATTCACCATTTTTGGCAAAATTATCAATAATGGCGAAGGTGCCGGGATAAAGTTTATCGAACTTTTTTAATATTCTTTATTCGTTTCAGAATCTGAAATTCAGATGTAATTTTGGGTAAGTAAATGCATATTTTACATATTAGGGTTTATCTTAATACATGATAATATAATAAAACGATATTCTAAAAATTATTACTTAGGTACTTTATTTTCCAAACAATAATAAATATGTAATGTAATTTCATAGTAGGTAAAACCGTTAATAAAATGCATACAATAAGTGTCACAAACGATAAAAACCACCCTGTAAAAGTTATTATGGGTGTACCACAGGGCACAAATCTATACCCACATTCATTTCCATCTAATATCAATGACTATATATTGGAAAAGACTTCTTAGTAGGTAATAATATTATTATATTATATTATAATACTTATAGAAGACTAATGAGATTAGAAAAATAATAAATATCTTTGGCATATATTTGATAGATTTTTCTGTATAAAAATGGTCCATTTGACTTAGATTATTATTATTATTACTACATTAAACAATGGAAGAAAAGTTGTTTCCGTTCATGGAGGAAGACTCCTCAGCCTCTGACAGCGCCTTTAGTAGTTCATTTCTTGCCTTTGAACCAATCCAGATGATTAAAGAAATACCAAACAACAACTGAAATAAAACAATTAGTATATTTCATTATTTTGTGGATTAAACGACATTTTTAATTAAACCTATCTAAAAACAACTCAAAAATGACTAAATGTCAATTGGATGTACTATGCTCCACACCTCAAAGTCCCACCCCGTGACCACGTACGGAACGCAGTCTTTTGAAAATTTGGCATTCAAGGCTTTTCAGGTTATGTATCTGTCAACGAAAGAAATAATATTATGTTTAGGCGTTAAAAATGTATAAATCTTTATAACATTACAATAACAATGGATGGTTTAAGAATTTAAGAATATAAATACTGCATTTAATGGTGCCAAATAAGTAATATTTTTGTGCACTTCGTCGAAATATCTGGTTTTCTCCATAAAATAATTTTAACTAAACAGCATTTATTAAAAAAAATCTAGCTTGTCTATTATGGAATAAGAATATCTGTTTTAAAGGTAGGTTAATAAATTATAACAAAAATATCATCTAATTTTGTAATTTTAAGGTTAGAAAAATTTATTTTGACCAAAATAAATAAGTATTTTGGATTATTTAAAAGACTGTATAATATGGTATTTAAAAATGTGGTCGTTTTTCTTATCCAGCTTAAAGTGTACCTACAAAAAGTTTTGTCAATACAAATAGTTAAAAAGCTTCGACTAAATTTGATCTACAACAAAAAATCATTATAACTTTAAAAATTTTAATAAATCAGATGTCACATTTCAAGTTTCTCTAAAAATTGTTTGTTTTCTTATAATCTAACTTAAAGTAAGTATGCCGAGAGGTATGCACAAGTTTTGTCGTTAGAAGTATAAAAGCTTCATTAATTTGAACCATATTTAACAATTATTTAGTATACCTATATTTATTTATGACCATATTAACACACTCTTCCAAATAATCCACTTATTTATTTTGGTCAAAATAGATTTTTCTAACCTTAAAATACAAAATTAGATGATATTTTTTATTCTAATACATTAACCTACCTTTGATACAGATATTCTTATTTCATAATAGAGAAGTTAGATTTTTTTTAATAAATGCTGTTAGTTAAAACTATTTTATGGAGAAATGTGGACCCAATGCACAAAAATATCACTTATATTGCACCTTACACTTTGGAATTTCATTAAATGCAGTATTTATATTCCTAATTTCTTAAACCAACCATTGTTATTGTGATACTATAAAGATTTATTAACTTTTAACGCTTAAACATAAGCGGTAACACTATAAATATTATTTCTTTCATTGACTATAATTTGACATATACATAACCTGAAAAGCCTTAAATGCCAAATTTTCTAAAAACTGCGTTCCGTACTTGGTCACGTGGTGGGACTTTGTGTTGCCTACATTTATACGAAGTGTAATATGAAATTTTTATTATTTTTATTATATTTTTAAATCCTATTTTTAAAGGTACTCTATAATCACCTGTATAATCACAATAAAATAAGTTGTTGTAGAAATTTGGTTGTTTTCTAAAACATCATGCATTGATCTAAGTGTTGTTCCTACATAAACTGATATTAATTGAGCTGGGAACAACCCCAGCAGTGATG